CAGATCTGACTTCTAATAGTTTGTTTTGTTAAACAAACTTTTATCTATGTTCGTACTTTTTTCTTCTATTATCTTTATCCAGTCTTAGTATTAGCACAATGCTGATTTCCTGAAACGAGGAGAGAAGTGTTCCTTTATTTTCTGCTTTAAATGTTTGATAGAATTCATCAGTTAAAATGTTTATGAGCCTGCTGTTGTCATATAGGTAGGTTTTCAAGCTAGGAATATACTTTGTTTAATAGGTGCTATTCAAATTTTATATTTCCTCCAGAGTCAGTTTCATTAATTCATCTTCCAAGGTACTACTTAGAAGTTGTCAAATACATTTCAAAAAAGATTTTCATAATATGCTTTCTATATCCTTTTAAATTCTGTAAAATCTGTGGTAAAGTAGTCTAAATCTTGATATGGTAATTTAAAAAATGTATAATTGATATTGTGAAATAGGAAGAAAAGGTCTAAAGGAGTAGGGGAAGTAGGAAAGGTAGGGGAAAGGAAAGAAGGGAAAAGATAAAATATGAGAAAAGAAAAAAAATAGAAACCAATTCTTTGCAAATAGGGAAGGGTGGAGGGGGTGAAGGGAGGGCAGAGGAAGGGGAAAAAAAATAAGAACCAAAAATGGCTCCAGTGAACCATGTCTTCTAGTACTCATGTCCTGTGTATTTCCCCTAAACTGAACCTGAGCTGACCCTGTGATGCACTTCAACCAAAGTCATGCAGAAGAAGTAAGTCTGGGACTAAGCCATAAGGCGGCCCAGAAGCTTAAGCTTTTGGGGCATCTAAAACAGCAGGTAATCTGGTGGAGAGATCATGTCAAGAGGTCATAAGAAAGAGAGACTCAGTTGTCTCTGTGTTCCACCTGAACCCACCCTTCCACGTAAGGGGTCAGAATGAAGTTACTGTGGTCATTTGAGCCCCATCTACCATAGACTAAGGCTTCATGAGAGACCCTAAATAAGGCCAACAGAAGAACTGTCCAGCTGAGCCTCAGTTAACCCCTAGAATTGTGAGAAATGGTGAAGCAATTGTTTGACATCACTAAGGGTATGAGGTAGTTTGTTATGCACCAGCAGATAACTCAACAATGTCTTTTCTAGAGATAGATATAAAATCGAAGAGTCTGTGCAGGAGGATCTACCCTGCATACAGCCCCTCCCTGTTGTCCATCATCCCATGGCTCCGTGTGTACTCTGCAAATGGAGGAGCTATGGGCCATGTTCCACACAGTGTTGGCCCTGCTCTGCCAAGGTGTGACTTTCCTTTCTGTAAAGTGGGAATAATGATTGCCCACCCATCTCACAGGCTGGAGACCTGTTTCAAAAAACAAAACAGGAAAATGCCTTAAGTATTGTGGATCCCATGTGGGTGTTATTCAAATTGAGGTTTTGAGAACCTGGGTAAAGTTTTCTGTGTACTCTTATAACTGGTTCTATTTGAACAAAACTTATACATGTTTTGGTATATTGAAAATGTACAATTATGGAATATTAAAAAAGAAAATTTAGGAGAGATGCTCTTGAAAAGCCATAGTTTTGGAGGTTGGAGTTAGGGTTGGTTTTATTAAAATATATAATAGGGCACTAGGCAGAAAAGAAACCAGTGAGAGGAGAGAATTTATTTACTTAAACTCTAATAGGTTCACCTCTGTGCTTTAAGAAAAACCAGCCCAAAGGATTCATTTGTAGAAATCCTCTGAAAAAATTGAGAAAGTCCAAAAAATTAAAAATGGAGAGGATTTTCTTCTAAAATACAGGAAAGCCTTCATATATACAGGTACTTATTTAGCAGTCCTAGGGATAGAGCCCAGGGCCTCGAACATATTAGGTAATAGCTTTACCACTGAGCCACAACTCCAACCCAAGGATGATCCTTGACTTAAAATAAATGAAATGTTTAGTGCTAACATATTAGAAACCAAAATATTAACTTAAAATATTGGAAGCATTACAAACTGCTGAGTAACAATCAGATTCATGAAGAACTTATCCAATCATAAATATGGATATTTTAGTCAGTAAACTCATTAGAAAATACCAAATTTTGATATCGCAAATCAAATGAAGGAAATATAAGTTTAGCTCGGTCTTTGAAAGCTGGTCCTATAATTCTTGTGTAAGACTAATGTCAGAGAAAGGAATTAGCTTAATGCTTAGGGTAATCTTTGGCTAAGATTAGCTCTGAATGATGTATTGTATTACCACAAGCCAAATAAAAAGAAAGAAACAGTTATTTGGTTTAGAATTAAACTTTGTAATATGACCCCAATTCTAAGCAAAATAAGCTCTATAGCATCCAGGTGGCTGAGACGTATTTGTATTTGTGCATGCATATGTTATAACAACTCCTACGTTTCACCTTGATCATTCTAAAAAATAGCTCAGTTTTATTTTTAAGAAGAAAGTCAAATACTCAAAGAGAAGCACTGTGGACTGACTGGTGCCACACAGTGTGAGTGTGACCATGTGTGTGGCAGCGATCAGGAGACTCTCAAAAGGACATAG